AAATGCCCTCCAATAAATATGATGTGTCTAGAAAAAACCACATTTATTATATGCTGATAGACTCTATTGATCTCTAAATACTTCTTCTAAATGTCACATAAATATTTTCCTTTTGACCTTTCTTTATTAGATTTAAACGAGAATTTGACTTTTAATAGGACACAATGGAGAAAAAGGATTCATGTAGCCGACCCCACGTAGTGGGATAAAGGCTTGTTGTTGTTGTTGTTGTTGTTGTTGTTGTTGTTTTGAAAAATGTCAAACCTTTAGCATTGCAACATGCCTGACTAATGCTCAACAAAAAGTATATAAGAATAGAGAACAAATTATAATCAACTTAAATGAAGCTTAGTTGAATAAACTTGTTTACCAAATACCTTAGGACGTTAAAGTTTTAAAAATAAACTCATCAACAACCATATTATTGTGTATAGCATCGGCTACTAGAAATTGCAAGAGGAGAAGATAGTTGAGTGCTCGAGTGGATGCTATGGACAGCTGTATGAGGAAATTCTAAGTGAATAGAGTTTTCATTCCTCCTAGTCAAAGAGGCTGTTCCAATAATTTTCAAAAAATTGAATCGCAAAAACAGATGAAATGCATCTAGGAGAGGATTTAAGGCTTCTAAGAATGTAGATGCTAAGATAGACAAATAGAGCTTATAAAAGAGACAAAAAAGAGAGGTTACAGTAGACAGCAAGCCTTTTAGGAGAGTGTGAGACATGTAAGTGTGTGAGTGAGAGAGGATTTTATGAGATATATAGATACTCCTAAGAGAGAAACTACTACGAGGGAGAGGCTTCTAAAAGAGAGATGTATGTGCTTCTAAAAGAGAGAGAAAGGCTTCCAAGATAGAAAGACAAGCTTATAAGAAGGAATTTTGGCAAAAAGAAATGATGCAAGAAGCTTCTAAGATCAACAAAGAGACTTTTGGGAGAAAGAGATGTTTCAAAGAAAGTGAAAGGCTTCTAATGATTGAGAGAAGCTTTTAAGAAAGAAAGAGACTCTAATAGAGAGATTTTTAAGAGAATGTGCTTTTATGAGAGCAACAGGACTATTCAGGGAGAATGAGATAGATAATAACTTTTATGATGGAGGGAGAGGCTTTTAAAAGAGAGATAAAAAATTTGATTGAGAGGATTCAAAAAGAGAGATAAAAAATGAGATTTAGAGAAAGGAGTTAAGGAAAGAGGCAAAGATGTACAAAGGGCTTATAAGAGGGAGAGAATGGGAGTGATGTTTCTAAGAGCGAAAAGGACTTTTGAAAGAGTGAACCTATACAAGATAAGCTTACAAGAAAGAAGGAGAGAGTTAAAGATGCTTTTAAGATAGAGATGAGGGGTTAATTTAAAAGATAGATTGATTTATAGAAAAAAGAGAGATAAATACTTCAAAGAGAGAGAGATGCTTTGAAGAGAGGGAGGGGCTTCTTTGAGAGAAAGGCTTCCAAGTGAGAAAAGCTTCATAGATAGGGACATTTCTTAAAGGGATAGAGAGGCTTATAAGAGACATAGAGAAACCTTCTATATAGTAATAAAGCTCTTTAAGATGAAGAGAGGTGGGTTTATGAGAGAGAGAAAAAGGCTTCTAAGAGAGAGAAAGAGGAATTTTGAAGATGGAGATAGAGAGAGTTACAGAAAGAGAGGAAATTATGAAAGAGAGAGCTGAATAAAATGAAGAGAGAGATTTCTTAGATGGACAGAAAGAGAAATTGAGAAGGAAGCATGGAAGATAAGGTGAGGAAGAGGAAGAGAAAACTTCCTAGAGAGTGTTATGAGACAGGCTTCAAAATAAGAGGGAGGATATTAAAAAAAAGAGTGATTTGTAACGAAGAGAACTTAATAGAGAAACACTTATTAAAGACAAAGACTATTTTTTAGAGAGAAAGAGATATTGGCTTCTATGTTATGTTAAATCTTATAACAAAGATAATGTCTACAAAAAGAGAAAAAGGATAGCCTCTAAGAGAGAGAAAGCATTTTCAAGGAAAGAAGCTTAATAAAGAGATTGCAAGGATTCCAAGCATGATAAAGAAGTGCTTTTAGGAGAGATGCTTTCAAGAAAGTCATATAGATACATACCGCAACAATCAAAATCTTAACAGCTCCATCTATAGCATCTTTCACACTTGTATAACCCTTAATAAATTGAACACTTCCATCAGGATTCTTTGTATGACCAGTGAAGAATCTATAAATTATATCTCAAGTCTTCAATTTGCAAGATCTAAAATTGAAAACACGTACATTATATCTTGGGTTCATGTTATCCTTATGATAATAAGGACAACAAGAACCAACGCAGCAACAGAGAACCCTACTTTGCCAATTAAAATAGCAACACCATTCAAGTGCACATTTTTAGAGGAGTCATAAATGAATCACATAATAAAATTAGTAAAATCATAAGCAAATCAATAATAAAAAGGGACACAATAAACCTGTAATGGAGTTCACCACTGTCTTCTGATACACTGGCCATCAATAATCCCCATTCAATATTGATCCCCACAGCAGTCTCCTGTATACAGAATAATTTAGAAGAGACATAGGCAAGCAAAAATATTAACAAAAAAAAAACATTAAAAATCAATATATGTAATATAATTTCCAAGTCATAATTACATCTAACTTTGCTTTATGTAACTCTGAATGAGAGTTAGGGAGAAAAACCAGAAGCAACCACGCTCCTAGAAAATGAAATCAGCATTCAACACCATTACCATTATCATCGTTATACTAATGTGCACTATTTGAGGCAAATGAATCGATATAATGGCAAAAACCCATCCATGTTCGTTATAGAGAAAAGAATATTTCAATTCCAAAAAAATGAAATCTCCTCAAGAAATTTTCTTAACCCAACCTAAGTTACCAAACCACCATAGGGATATCCAATTAAATAGCACTCAGATAATGCTAACAATGAGCTCTTCTAGAACTACATGCTTCTCATTTGAAATAAATGTCCTGGTTCGAGTAAATCTGAGATACCAGCCACTAATTCTTATAAATTTACTGCTAAAAATTTGCAACTATAGCTCGTTAAAATCATGACAAGTTCCTAGCATGCTTAAAAACAAATAGGCTAAAAACTACTTGTGGTTTATCCGAAATATTTTGTTCCAATCATTAGTACTCAAGTCATAAAGCTAGTTTAAAATATTGGTCAATCATCACTTGCAGCATCTATTGGATCGAGTTAACGCACCAAGCAATAATAGAACTATAGATGTCTGATAATCCCCACACTGTTATTAGCATAATCCCATAATCGTCAGCAACTTTGCACCAAGGCATCAAAAATGATGTTTTGAGATCCTTGTGCGCATGCAACAAAGAATTGAAACAATCTTGTTAGTCTCAATGACGAGAAATATACAATAACGTTTCACTACAGGAAAAATGCCAAAAACCGGCGGTTTTCTCCGGCGGTTCGTATGGCTACGCCGGCGATTTTTTTTTATTACCAGCGGCTTTGCGGCGGCATTCAAACCGCTGGTAAAAATCGCGTAGGAAACACTTACCGGCGGCCTTTTACTGGAGGTTTATTTAGGCGGCGGTTCTCCGGCGGCCTATACCGCCGGTGACGACCGGATTTGCAACCGGCGGTGTTCTGGCCGTTAAGCCGCCGGTTAGTTTACCGACGGCTAACCTGCGATCACATTACCGACGGTATGCCGGCAGTTTTCCGGTGGTCCGGAATGCCGATAGAAAATAACATATCAACGGCGGTCCAGGCCGCCGTTAAACCGTCGATTTATATTGATGTCCGGCGGTTTCTGGACCGTCGCTAGTACCGGCAGCTTAACATACCAAACCCATCGGTTAGGCTGCCGTTAAAAGCCGGCGGTCAAACCGCCGGCTAAACTGCCGGTGTTACCGGCAGTCCATAAACCGCCGGTTAGAACCACCGGTAATAGGCATTTTTCCTGTAGTGAACATCAACATCAAGCTTTTATCCCATAGTGGGGTCAGCTTCGTGAGTCATTTTTCTTCATTGTGTCCTATTAAGAGTCATTCTCATTTAAATATAATAAAAAATATCTTTTCTAATACTTTCTAAACAAGTTTTTTATGTTTACGTCTACATTTCTTAACATAGGTCGTATCTAATACATTTTACTTTTCTAACCAAGTCAAAGAAGGGTCGATGCTTTATGTCACCAAATCATCTGAGATGACACTCTCTAGTTCACATTAAATATCTCTAAGCAAACTTTGCATTCATGGAACCTCTATAATGAAATATTCATTTTTTCTCAAGGTATAGATATTCCCTAAATTGCATATAAACATGTCAAAGGCATAAGTTTAATCAAGATCATGCCTATGTCAAGTTGCATCTAATGAAAATTCTATTAAAGCATGCATAAAAAAGAAAACTATCAATTAACTTTTCATAGAAAATAAATCTCAAATCTTCTGTCACCTATCAAAAATTTCATAAATACAATCAAAGAACAAAAGATAATGATAGACCGGTCAAACCGGTCCAATTTTATAAGAGGAACAGGGAAGTTCCATCTCCCATGCCTGCAACCCTCAATGGTGGGGGTCAACTAGTTTGATTAAGAGGGAATTAAGGAGGATTTAGTAGGGAAAATTCAAATAGAAGGAGCTATTTTAGGATTTGACCTAATGTTTGGAGGCTAGAGTTAGGTTTTTCTATCTTTGTTTCGCTATAATTTCTTTGTTCTTGATTTCTCCTTCGACTCTAGCGACGCCAAAAGATTTGGGTAGGGGTGAAAACGAGTCAAGTTGATTCGACTAGTGTCCTTATCAAACTCGGCATGTCAATTATAAAATTAGCTCGACTTGAGCTAAAGCTCGAGTGAAGCTCAAAAGGTGAGCTCGAGCTCAGCTCGACCCACTGTATACGAGCTCAAGCTTGCTTGTGAGCCTACGGCAAATTTTGTGGTCCAGTCATCTTTCATGTGTGGCCTAATTGTCTTCCACGCACAATCTGCGAAGTCCAACATGAGCGTTTGCCTCAAGCCTTGCATGGTCGACCTCATGCGGATCATCAGCCTCCTGCAACCTTTCGAGCATCGCACTATCGGTTGTCTGCCTCAAATGTAGAATTCAATATTTATGTGAGATTTAAAAAAAATATTTATTGTTAATTTTTAATAATATTCAAATTTAATAAATAAAAGAATATTATAAAAATAGTGATTCGAGCAACCTTGCAAGCCAATTCTCATCAAGCTCAAGTGTGAGCTTGAGCTCATGGCTTGATACGCTTGACTCACGAGTTCGTTCACGAGTCGAGCTTGAGCCGTACACTCCTTGATTTGGGAGAGCCGGATCTTCCTCTCCAATAGAAGATCCATTGTATCTTGTTGTGTTCCTTCATCTTTTATCAATTAAAGAAGTTCAATTCTGGTTTTTCTTCCAAGTTCTTCTCAAGTTCTATTTTGTAAAATACTAAAATTAAATTTCAGGGGGGGAGACTCTTGTTTATTACAAGCATATCCTAAAAAAATGCTATGAGACATAGAGATTTGGGTGTCACCAATTAGTGTTCTAGCTTATCGCTACCCTCAAATTCAGAAGGACGAGATAGAGAAGCTGATCTGAGAGATGTTGGAGGAGGGAATTATCAGACTACGTTTGAATCCTTTTTCTAGCACAGTCTTGTTATTCAAGAAGAAGGCCGAGAGCTGGAGATTCTATGTTGATTACCGGGCTTTGAATAAGGAGATTGTACCAGACAAGTTTTCCATACTGTTGGTGATTGATGAACTATTGGATGAGTTGTGTGGAGCAGTAGTGTTCACCAAGGTGGATCTGAAGACGGGATACCATCAGATCAGGATAAGAGAGGAAGATATCCCGAAGATTGCTTTTAGGACACATCAGGGGCATTACGAGTTGGTTGTCAAATTTAATATTAAGCTATGATTTTGAGATTCATTATTGTCCAAGATTGGAGAACAAGGAGGTGGTGGATGCCTTGTCCAAAAGCATGGGGGAGCTCTAGGAGTTAGCTATGTCGATACCAATGATGCTGGATTGGGGGGCGATCATAGAGGAGAGTATACAGAATGACGAGTTGGGAAAAATTAAAGCAAATCTTTTAAAGGATGAGAACAGTCACCCGGACTACTCTTTAGAGGAGAAAATGTTGTACTATGAAAGGTTTATGATGCCATGGACCTCAGTTTATACCTCACAGCTATTGCAAGAGTTCCACATAAGCGCTATGGGAGGACATTCTAGAGTACGAAAAACATACAAGAGACTAGCAATGAAGTTGTATTGGAAAAGGATGCACAAGGATATGGAAGAGATGGTGGCTAGATGTGAGGTATGCCAGCAGAACAAGCACATGGCCATGGCTCAGGGGGGGAGGGTTACTTCAACCCCTAGAACTACCAGACAGGGTGTGGGAGGAGGTCATCATGGGCTTTATTGATGGGTTACCACAATTACAAGGGTTTACTATAATTCTGGCAGTCGTTGACAGATTGAGATACACTCAGTTCATCCCCCTATGACATCCTTACACGAAAGTGATGGTAGCGGCATCATTCATCAAGGAGGTGGTCAGGTTAAATGGGATATCAAAGTCTGTAGTATTTAACAAAGATAAGGTGTTCCTTAGTCATTTTTGAAGGGAGGTGTTTAGGCTACAGGGAACAGTACTGAAGAGAAGCACCGCTTATAACCCTCAGATGGACGGGAAAATAGAAGAAGTAAATAGGGGCTTGGAGACATACCTGCGATGTTTTGCTTCAGAAGCAGGTAGATGAACACAGTAAGGACATCTAGTTTATCATTGGGTATAGGGCATTTTTAAAGCTGCGACCCAACAGATAGAGGACAGTAGCCAACTTAAGAAATGAGAAGTTAGCCTCGGGGTACTTTGGCCCTTATAAGGTATTGGAGAGGATTAGAGCAATGGCTTATTACTTGAAGTTAACCCTGACGGCTTCCATACACCAAGTGTTCCATGTATCACAGTTGAGGAGAGCAGTGGAGGATCATGCAACTAGTTTAGAACTACCATGGATGTGGTTTTGGAACCACATGATCTTACAGGGGTTCATCAAGGAGAGGGCAAGTCCAAGGAAATGTTGATTAAGTGAAAGAACTTAACTAACTATGATGCCACATGGGAACCACACGAGAGGGTGAAGCATCAATTTCCCTCCTTCCACCTTAAGGACAAAGTAGCTTTTTGGGGGGAGAGTATTAATAGACCGATCCAATGACAGGTCTAATTTTATAAGAGGCGTAACAAGGAAGTTCCGCCCTCCATGCTTGCCACCCTTGATGGTGGGGATCCAATTGCTTGATTAAGAGGAAATGAAGGAGGATTTCGGAGGAAAAATTCAAATAGAATGGACTGTTATGGGAATTGACCAAATTTTGTATGCTTAAGTATGTTTGGAGGCTATGGTTAGGTTTGTTTATCTCTGTTTTGTTGTATTTTCCTGGTTCTTGGTTTTAGCTTGGGCTCTAGTAGCATCTAGAGATTTGGGAGAGCCGGATCTTTCTCTCCAATAGAAGATC